ACTAACTAATATCTATAATTGTATATATTGATGGATTTACATGTTCAAGTTGGCTCAAGTCAGTGAGTCTATGATTTTGGTATCATTTTGGTTAACTGTACTTGACTGTGATATTATTATTGTTGTTGTCGCTTGTTACCCTTCTTGTTGTGAATTATTTTCCTGTGCTGGTGTTGTTCTGATTGTTTTATTCCTTGTTTTCCTGGTTTTAAGGGGAGCAACCCACAAGGTCGCTTCTCTCTAAACTATAATTTAATGTAACAATCCCCTTCTCAGGCGTGAGGCTAGCAACCCCACCCTGTAAACAAAGCTGCTACAGAAACTTCAGCACGATGAATCTCCTTGAGCCAAAAGAAAAAGTCTGTGTGGGGACATGGAATGTCCGCACCATGTACGAGATTGGCAAAGCTGCCCAGATCGCAAACGAAATGAAAAGATACAGAATTCAAGTACTGGGGATATGTGAAAGCAGATGGAACGGGAATGGACTCACCAAATTGTCAACGGGTGAGTCAGTGATCTACTCCGGTCACCCAGAGGATAACCACATGCACACCGAGGGCGTGGCTATCATGATGTCACCAACGGCAACGAAGGCCCTGATGCAATGGGAGGCGATCTCGCCCAGGATAATGACCGCCAGATTCAACTCCAAAGGAAGGAAAGTGTCAGTTATACAATGCTATGCACCGACAAACAACGCAGACCTCGAAACGAAAGAAGAATTCTACAGACAACTACAGGCAACAATGGACAATACTCCAGTCGGCGACATTAAAATACTAATGGGAGACATGAACGCCAAACTGGGACCAGACAACACAGGAAGGGAACTCATCATGGGTAGAGAAGCTCTCGGAGAAATGAATGAAAACGGAGAACTCTTCGCCGACTTCTGCGCCTTCAATGAACTAGTGATTGGTGGCAGCGTATACAAACACAAGGATATCCACAAGGCTACATGGGTGTCACCAGATGGGCGAACCAAAAACCAAATTGACTTCATCTCAATCTCAAGGAAGTGGAGGCGCAGCCTACTGGACACGAAAGTAAGAAGAGGAGCAGACGTTGGCTCAGACCACTACCTCGTACAAGGAACAATCCAAATCAAATTAAAAGCTTTCAGAGAAACAGGAGCTGCAGATAGACCACAAGCCAAGTTCAACACTCAAAAACTGAAGGACCAGGACACAAAGGACATCTTCACTGCAAGCATAAAGGACAAAGCCGAGACACAAATCAACACTGGCGAAGAGGTCAGCGTCGAAAAGCACTGGAACAACTTGAAAACAGTGTGGAGTCAAACCTGCATGGAAGTTCTAGGCAGAAAGAAGAGACAGGACAAACAGTGGCTCACTACGGACACTTGGAGACTCATAGAAGAGAGAGGGATGGTGAAACAAAAGATTCTCCAGTGCACCGACGAGCAACAAAAACAGGATTTGAATGCAAACTACAAGACACTGAACAAAAGAGTAAAGAAGAGTGCCAGAGAAGACAAAAGAAAGTATTATGAAGCCATGGCAAGTGAAGCAGAACAAGCTGCAGGCAAAGGAGACCTCGCAACACTCTACCAAACAACTAGGTACCTATCGGGCAAACGTTTGACACAAATTAAGCCGGTGAAGGATGACAATGGAAAGTCACTCACCAAAGAAGTGGAGCAAAGGAAACACTGGGCTGAACACTTCAAAAGACTCCTAAATCGACCATCACCTACAACGCGCCCAACAATACCAACAACGGAGACAGAGCTACCAGTGAACACCAACCCCCCGACGAAATCAGAAGTCCTGAAGGCAATCAAGATGCTAAAAGCTGGAAAAGCAGCAGGACCAGATGGAATCCCAGCAGAAGCATTGAAAATGGACCCAGAGACAACAGCGGACTTGATGACGCCACTACTGGAGAAGGTGTGGAAAGAAGGCAAAGTACCCGAGGATTGAAAGAAAGGATACTTATTCAAACTACCAAAGAAAGTAGACTTAAGTCAATGCAAGAACTGGCGCGGAATTATGCTCCTGTCCATCCCAAGCAAAATACTAAGTCACATCATCCTGGAGAGAATCAAACATGCCCTGGATGAAAAACTTCGACCGGAACAGGCTGGATTCAGGAGAAACAAGTCATGCATTGATCAGATCGCCACATTACGGATCATCATTGAACAAAGCTTGGAGTGGCAGTCACCTCTCTATCTCAACTTCATCGACTTTGAAAAGGCCTTCGACAGCGTCGATCGAGAGGTGATTTGGAAACTACTTCGCTACTACCGGGTGCCACCGACAATTATACATCTCATCCAACAGCTGTACGACAATGCTGCGTGTCAAGTAATCCACAACAGGAAACTTACGGAATCCTTCGAAGTGAGGACAGGAGTAAGACAAGGCTGCCTACTATCACCAATGATTTTCCTGATTGCAGTAGACTGGATAATGCGACAAACAGTGGGCAATGAGGAAACAGGCATAAAATGGACTCACACAAAAAACTTGGAGGATCTGGACTTCGCCGATGATATATGTCTGATTTCCCACAAACTGGAAGATATGCAAGCGAAAAGCAACAAGTTGGTAGAAGAAGCATCAAAGATAGGACTTCAGGTGAACATAGAGAAGACAGAGGTGATGAAGGTTCCCGGGCAACACCACCAACAGCAACATCAACAGACAACGATCAGCATAAATGCGAGGAAACTGAAAGAAATAACCTCTATTACTTACCTGGGAAGCATCGTTTCAACTACAGGCGGAATAGACGAGGATATCAAAGCAAGAGTCGGAAAAGCAAGACAAGCTTTCACTACTCTCAAGTCGGTGTGAAGGTCAACAGCACTCAGCATCAAAAATAACATCCGGATTTTCAACTCCAATGTGAAGTCATTCAGTGATACTAGACGGATCGGAGACTTGGCACGTCAAGAAGAGCACCACAAACAAACTACGGACCTTCATTAACAGTTCTTTTCGCTCAATACTCAAGATTAGATGGCCAGAAAAGATCAGCAACAGAGGTCTCTGGGAGCGAAACAACCAGGAACTCATTGTGAAACAAATAGTCAGGAAGAAATGGAGATGGACTGGCCATACTCTGAGGAAACCATCAAGTGACATCACTAGACAAGCCATTGCTCGAGTGGAACCCGAAAGGGAAGCGGCGAGTTGGTCGTCCAAAGGTGACTTAGGGGAGGTCAGGTGAAGAGCAGATGAAAACGTGTGGGAAGACATGGAGCCAGGTGAAGATTCCAGCAGAGAACGGAAGGCAATGGAGAAGGTCATGTGTAGATAAAACCTGCGGACAGTCGAATAAAAGTAGTAGAAAATGGTGTCGGAGAATTTAATGGAACAGAGATGTACTCCTGGAAGCCCTGTGTTTCATTAGGAACGCAAGGAATGAATAACATGTGACAATATAAATCATAATCGATATGTCAAAATCACAATAACTAACTTTAATGTTATTTGTTGTAAACAATAAAAATAGTTCATCACATGATCAAAGTAAATAATTACGTGAAAACGTTTGCCAACATTTACATTATTTGGTTAAAAAACAATTGTTTGCATTTAGAACAAGAAATATGCGGTTGATATTATGGGAAAGTTATGGTTATGTAATCACCAGTACTTATACAGTCGAAGTAATTGAGCTATATGAGTGTATTTTGTTCATCACTAACTAGTGCATACTCTAATGCAAAATGACTGCCTATGGAGAGAGTTGAATATAATTACATTTAAAAGTGCCCTCATTATATCAATATCTTCGGTAAATTATCTACACATAGAATTGAAAGCTAAGATAAAATGTTTGGCAACCCAAGTTATTACATTTTTCAGCACACAGTGGAAGAAAATCAACAAAACACAAAATAAATAGTTTGGATTTTACTGGTGGTATTTATAGAATTGTAAAGAAAGGAAGAGAAAGAAGCTATCATAACATTTAGCCCTAGTTGTCAAAGACTTAGTTCCTCAAAAAACCAGTATAAAATATGAAGGTAGATTTCATCACTTATTTACATCACTTAAAGGAAGATTGAAAACCATGGCGTAGTAGATAGCTGTCCTGTCGCTGTTTGTAACTCTCCAACAGTACACACACATGGCCCTACAACGGATCATTTCTGTAACCGTTCAGTTACAAACTAAGCACATTTATGTACTTCTTATTATTATTCCCTTGGGTTCCGAGTGGAACATAGGGCTTCAACAACACATATCCACTTTCTCCTATCTTCTGCTGTCCTCTTCAACTGAGTCCACGATTGACCAAACTCTCTCATCTCCTCCTCACACGATCTCCTCCATGTCACCCTGACACCGACGACCCACTCTTTGCTTCCCATTGGTATTCCACTCGAGCGATGGCTTGCATTGCGCGCGATGTCATTCGGAGGCCTCCCCCTAAGTATGCCTGATCCATCTCCACTTTCTCCTACATATTTGTTGAGCGATCGGCTCTTGGTTGGTTTGTTGCCAGAGTTTCTTGTTGCTAATTCTTTCTGACCATTTGAACTTTAATATGTAGTGAATGCAGCTGTTGATAAATGTCCACAGCCTGTTGGAAATGCTCCTTCCTGATGTGCTATGTTTCTGGTCCACATAAAAGAACTGACTGACTTCCCATCTGTGTTGAAAATCCGAACTTTATTGTTTGTGCTGAGTGCAGAAGATTTCCAAACTGGTTTCAGGTTGATGAAGGTGTATCTTGCCTCTCCGATTCTGGCTGGTTGGCTTTGACATCTTCGTCCGTTCCAACTGCCTGTGGTTGAAACCGTGCTTCCTGGCCAGATAAGTGAAGGAAGTAATCTCTGTCAAATTTTTCCCGTCTACATAATGAAGGACTGGTATTATTCATCTGTTCAGAGTTGAATGTTTTTAAAGAAACTCATTTTTACCTATTTGCTAAATAATAAATGAAGCGTTATAACAATCTTTAACACACCAACAAATATTAGGCAGAAAACTAAAACTGTGTATTTTCAAAACACTTACGCGACCAGTATATGCAGATATCTCATGCTCTTCATCCAGGATGCGTGCAAAGCCACCATCAACAGTCCCAAATTCTACAGCTAAGTAAGCAAACTTCGGTGGAATCACACCGTATGCTCCAGATCCGCCTGGTTTAATTGTTATCAAACGACGGTTTTGATCCCATTCAGAACCTATTTCGCTGAGGGCTTTCTAAACAGTTTAAAAAAAATAATAAGTGGTTATACTGAATAATATTGCTAGAAGTGAAGACAAACAGAACACAAAATATTAAAATCTGATTTGGTGGCATATATAAGGAAATAGAAAAGAAACAGGAATGTAGATAGGTTGCAAGATGTTCACCACCGCATATAAGATAGACACTATACAATCGTGTTTCTGATTCTGAAAATCAAACCTACAGTATTTTATTATGAATCAATATCACAGAGAGAACCGAAATAAACTGAGAAAAGCTGGTAAATACTTCCTAAGGAAGTTTCAATTCCACGACCCATCGAATTCCAAATCACTTTATAGAGGGTAAATGCGCTTAAACATCGCCAAGTTAACAAGCACGCTAGTTTTCTAGCCGGTCCCAAGGCCGGGTAAAGAGGGAGGGTTGGGCGTGGGACTAGCAACCCTACACCACTAGGCCTATCAAACCTCTAGAGACTGCAGCGCACACAAAATATATTAAAAATACAAAAACTTCAAATAAATATCTTATTCTTCGCTGGAATCGGAGAGGCGAAATAACGCGGACTGGTGAAAGCCTTCGAGAAGCCAATCAGCCAGCCGTTGTATCTTCTCTCGATGAAAGCAAGAATAAGAATAGGGAAGTGGAATGTCCGTACAATGCACGAGACTGGGAAGGCTGCTCAGGTAGCCAAAGAAATGCGAAGATATGGCTTAGAAGTCCTGGGTGTCTGCGATAGCAGATCGAATGGATGTGGACTGTCAAAATCGTCAACTCTCCTCCGGTATGGTCACCCAGACGACAACCAAGAGCACACTGAGGCAGTGAGTGGCTATCATGATGTCATCAGTGGCAACTAAAGTTCTAATGCAGTGGGAACCAATCTCCTCCAGGATTATGACGTCAAGATTCAACTCAAAAGGAAAGAAGGTCACAATTAACATGCAGTGTTACGCGCCTACAAACAACTCGGAGCAAGAGAAGAAGGACGATTTATACAGACAACTGCAAACGGTAATGGACAACACCCCAAATGGTGACATCAAAAGCCTTATGGGTGATATGAATACAAGACACACTGGGAGCAGATAATACTCAAAGAGAACTTATCATGTGTCGAGAGGCTCTGGGAGAAGTGAATGACAATGGAGAACTCTTTGCAGACATATGCGGTTTCAATGACCTAGTGATCGCAGGCAGCGTGTACAAACACAAGCATATACACAAAGCAACATGGATTTAGCCTAACGGACATACAACAAACCAGATAGATTTCATCTCAATGCTACTCGAGGAAGTGGAGACACAGCCAGCATGCTGGACACAAGGTCGAGAAGGGGGGCAGGTGTGGGCTCAGACTATCATCTAGTTCAAGGAACCTTCAAGGTGAACCTGAAATCCTTGAAAACAACTGGAGACAGACCACAATTCAAGTTCAACATTCAGAAACTGAAGGACAAAGCCACAAGGGATGCCTTCACTCCAGATCAGATCAGAGCAAAGTCGGAGACACTACGTGTTATGACCGAGGAAACCTGGGTGGAAGAACATTGGAACTCTCTGAAAACGATAGTCAAGGAAACGTGTACAACTGTTCTAGGAAGAAAGAAGAGACAAGACAAGGAATGGTTCCCAACGGATACATGTAAGCTAATCGAGAAGAAGAGGATTTTGAAAGAGATGACTCAATTCAAAAGAGACATGAGGACACTATATCAGATAACCAAGTCTCTATCTGGTGATCAACCCAGATGATGAAACCAATTAAAGATGTTCAAGCGGACCTGAATACCAAGCAGGAGAAACAAATCTAAAGGACTTTTGAATTGAACCCACTGGCACCTTCCCCAGAAATACTACAAACAGCACACACGGAAATGCCAATGGACACCACTCCTCCAACGAAAGCAGAAATCTCAAAAGCGATAAAGCCACTGAAGTCCAGGAAGCCAGCAGGACCGGACCGCATTCCCCCTAAAGCACTGAAGACGGCCCCAGAGATTACGGCAGATGTTCTTACTCCATTACTGCAAAAAGTTTGGAAAGAAGGGAAGGTGCTTACTGATTGGAAGAAGCGCTACCTCATCAAACTGCCGAAGAATGGCGACTAAGGCATCTGTAAGAACTGGCGTGAAATCATGCTCTTGTCCACGCCAAGTAAAATACTAAGTCGCATCATCCTGAAGAGAATAAAGGATGCACTGGATACAAAACTCCACCAACCGGAACAAGCTGAATTCAGAAAAGGCATCTACGCATCGTCATCGAACAAAGCATAGAATGACAGTCAAACCTCTACCTCAACTTCATCGACTTAGAAAAAGTCCTCGGCAGTGCAGCGTTGACCGAGAAGCTATTTGGAAACTGCTTCAACAATATGGCGTGCAGTGCCCAAATCTTTATCAGCCTCATTCAACAGCTGGCTATATGACAATGTCACGTGTCAGGTGAATACAGGAGTAGGACAAGCTGACTGCCTATTGTCACCGATGATATTCTTAATTGTGGTGGACCGGATTATGCGGCTCTCCGTGGAGAGTAAGAAGACAGGAATACGCGGATGACCAATATAAAGATTCTAGAAGATCTGGATTTCGCGGACAATTTGTGTCTACTGCCACACAGACTCGATGAACTGCAGACGGAAAGCAACAAACTGGCCGAAGAGGCTGGCAAGCAGCGAAGACAGGACTGCAGGTGAACATAAACAAGACGGAGGTGGTGAAAATAACCAACGAACTTCGACAACAACAACAACCAGCACCAATCACCATCAGTGGTAGAAATTTGACAGATGTTACATCCTTCACTTATCTGGCCAGGAAGCACGGTTTCAACCACAGGCAGTTGGAACGGACGAAGATGTCAAAGCCAACCAGCCAGAATCGGAGAGGCAAGATACACCTTCATCAACCTGAAACCAGTTTGGAAATCTTCTGCACTCAGCACAAACAATAAAGTTCGGATTTTCAACACAGATGGGAAGTCAGTCAGTTCTTTTATGTGGACCAGAAACATAGCACATCAGGAAGGAGCATTTCCAACAGGCTGTGGACATTTATCAACAGCTGCATTCACTACATATTAAAGTTCAAATGGTCAGAAAGAATTAGCAACAAGAAACTCTGGCAACAAACCAACCAAGAGCCGATCGCTCAACAAATATGTAGGAGAAAGTGGAGATGGATCAGGCATACTTAGGGGGAGGCCTCCGAATGACATCGCGCGCAATGCAAGCCATCGCTCGAGTGGAATACCAATGGGAAGCAAAGAGTGGGTCGTCGGTGTCAGGGTGACATGGAGGAGATCGTGTGAGGAGGAGATGAGAGAGTTTGGTCAATCGTGGACTCAGTTGAAGAGGACAGCAGAAGATAGGAGAAAGTGGATATGTGTTGTTGAAGCCCTATGTTCCACTCGGAACCCAAGGGAATAATAATAAGAAGTACATAAATGTGCTTAGTTTGTAACTGAACGGTTACAGAAATGATCCGTTGTAGGGCCATGTGTGTGTACTGTTGGAGAGTTACAAACAGCGACAGGACAGCTATCTACTACGCCATGGTTTTCAATCTTCCTTTAAGTGATGTAAATAAGTGATGAAATCTACCTTCATATTTTATACTGGTTTTTTGAGGAACTAAGTCTTTGACAACTAGGGCTAAATGTTATGATAGCTTCTTTCTCTTCCTTTCTTTACAATTCTATAAATACCACCAGTAAAATCCAAACTATTTATTTTGTGTTTTGTTGATTTTCTTCCACTGTGTGCTGAAAAATGTAATAACTTGGGTTGCCAAACATTTTATCTTAGCTTTCAATTCTATGTGTAGATAATTTACCGAAGATATTGATATAATGAGGGCACTTTTAAATGTAATTATATTCAACTCTCTCCATAGGCAGTCATTTTGCATTAGAGTATGCACTAGTTAGTGATGAACAAAATACACTCATATAGCTCAATTACTTCGACTGTATAAGTACTGGTGATTACATAACCATAACTTTCCCATAATATCAACCGCATATTTCTTGTTCTAAATGCAAACAATTGTTTTTTAACCAAATAATGTAAATGTTGGCAAACGTTTTCACGTAATTATTTACTTTGATCATGTGATGAACTATTTTTATTGTTTACAACAAATAACATTAAAGTTAGTTATTGTGATTTTGACATATCGATTATGATTTATATTGTCACATGTTATTCATTCCTTGCGTTCCTAATGAAACACAGGGCTTCCAGGAGTACATCTCTGTTCCATTAAATTCTCCGACACCATTTTCTACTACTTTTATTCGACTGTCCGCAGGTTTTATCTACACATGACCTTCTCCATTTCACCCTCAGACGCTGAAACTATCGCTTCCCGTTAGGCCTGATTTTTGGTGTGTGCATTATTCATTGACGCAAGTTGTTTAAAACGACCGAAAAGCTTCTTTTTCTTTAAATAAATTTCAAATATTTATTTTTTGATGGTGGTTAGCAATGGATCGATTACATTGCATACAATACCGAGAAGCTTAAGAACAATGAATCTATAAATCAAATGAAAGGATGCAATTCTGGTGTGTGAATGGACAAAGAAAAACAATGAGAATCCTATTTAACTATATGTGGTTCCGTTGTAACTTCGAAGACGATTTTATAAGGTTGTGTTATGTGAGGCTATGAATGCCGACGTTGAGTCCTTGTGAGTAGAAGACTAACATGCACTGATGTGCCGATATATCCACTTGATGTTAGTTATGTATTTCACTTTCGATAGAACTAGATAGCCAGTAAAGAAGTGAAAATGCTGAACTTTCGCTATGTATGTAATATTTAAAAATCTTTTTTCTTCTTGATTTTACTGGGCTGCAGACAAATTGAGTGATTGAAATTGCAGATCATTTATTTCTGAATTAGATGGGCATAAAGGTAAATATTGACCGAAGTTTGAAAAGTAAAACAATTAAATAAACTTTCAACTTGGTTACTATCTCCATAGTGAAAAAGACCATAATTGTCAAATGACTAATAGACACGAAGTTCATCTGTGCATAGATGGATAGAAATTATTTTGGCACAATAGTGAAAGATATGAAGCTAATTAAAAAGAAGGTTAAATTGACTGCAGTAATTGCTTCTGTCATGTCAACAAGGTAATAATAAAAGAAAAGCAACTAGTGTCGAGTGTAAATAAACTATGTTTTGATGAAGAGCTCAGAGTGAGGTTTCACCTGAGAGTTGGTTATTAAAGTGTCTTCCACGTAATTAAGTCTATAAGATAATAATAATAACTTATATATATATATATCTTACCTTAAAGTAGGCAGGTAGTGAACGATATAGATTTCTTGGAACAGGAATACACTCTACTTGTGTATGATAACGAAACCCATCTGACTTAGTGGCAGTTTCGATAAAAACACAGCCTGATTCATTGTAATGCTTATCAAACATAGCAGTTAGTTGACATTTAAAATTCCGAATCTCTTTTACAGCATCTTCATCTAATCGAGTAATTGATCCGATATGTTCATATGGGGTGATCAGGCAATAACCACTCACCATACTTATATACGATGGCAAAGACAAGAATACCTACAATATATAAAAATAACAGCTTTAATATAAATATACAGTAATCCAATAATCATCTATGGAAATCATGTAATTGATAACTAAGCTATATTTAGATTTGATGTGACAGTTTAAATCACTGTTAAATATAATCTCTCAATTTCCAGTAAAACAAAACTTAGGTGACACCTAATATTCACTACACCAAGCAATCGCCTACAAATGTATTATTAATCAAGGCGAATAAACTCCAAAAGTAACTCTTCAATAAATAAAATAACCTTTGTTCGAAGATGATAATCGAAGTTGATGAGAAAAAAAAAGTAACGAATAGGGTTAAACCGACAGTAAGACGTTCAACACAAAAGAACTACACATTACTATCTCATAAAACACACAGAACTACTGTCTGCCACGACTGATGATCTCAGCCGACATAGGAATACGTCGGAAAAGAGTTAGAGGCCGTCAAACCAAAATCTGACATCATTCCATGGAGTCTTTGACAGTTGGTTTGAGCCAATTAGGAAGGTGTAGACTGCCTGGTTGGAGTCCTCAGAACTCTAAGATCCAATAACTGGAGACTACTGGTAATGTCGCTCAAAATCGTTCTGAATGGCACAGATGCATTCACTGCCTGCGAAGTTCCATATCTATTAGACCCTCATATTTTTCCATGTTACTATTCTTTCTCCCATACATTTCTGCTTATTATAGTGCCTTTGGATTTCCGTTTTTCTCTATTTTCTGTACTTTGTGTGCTACATGGAACGCGGCGACCTGAAGTGCGGCAGTTCTGTGCAAAGTTCTATGTTGACACTCAGTTGATCAGTCAAGAACAATAATTAATGAAGTAAAAATAACAATAATAGTGATACATTACTAGAAAGAGAAACAGTAAGCAAACCAATACATATATTAAAATACAAAATACCTTTTCTCCAAGACTAACAATTAAATACTTAGGAACACGTTCTAAACACGTAGAACACCTCGATTCAGCGAACATTCTTCTTTTATAGGCTACACACATGTTAAACAAAGGTAAAACAAAATGTAAAGGTGTTTTAAATAGCAGTGTTGAAGATGTCTAGCAGCATAATTCAAGCCGAATTAGCTGAAAATCTTTTTCGCTTGGTAGTGATTAATATTAAAAGTGTTAAGGATTAACTTTGCGCATAATCGTCATTAACAATATCGAACCTCGGACCACATGCGAGGTCGGTGAGCATTCTACCGCTGTGTCACGGACGCTAGGTTTTCTACATATACTTCTTATTGTATCATCCTCGTGTCGAGTTATACGGACGTTTAGGAATGAAGTACTGGCGTTTCTTTCTTTCCTGATGGCAAAATTTACTAAAGGATGTATATCGTTAAATTTGGCAAGGATGTTCTTTGCTTCATTCTAATTTTTCATGCTCAGAAATATGTCATCCATGTAACGATAATAGAATTAGGTTCACCAATTACATCTTTCAAAGTTCCATTAGCTAATTTTGCCAGGAAAATGTCAGCTAGTGATGACCCCATAACCACGCCACCAATTTGTCTACGGAATTGCTTATTAAATAAAAAATGAACATTCATTGTGCATCTTAAAAGAAGCTGCTTCGTAGAAGATATAAGAATGCCAACATCGAACTATCCTTTGTCTTCTAAATGTAAGCCTCACCAATGTATAAAAGTGATACGTTTAGTCACTATTGTAACTATATTCTTTAACCCAAAATCTTTCCTCTTATTTACTATTTGTCACAGGATCACACACATATTCTTTTGTTCTGCATACTTTAACACTGTCAGTTATGCATAAAACGTGAATACCTTTGCAACGGGAGATAAAAACTATCTATTAACTACTTTACAAAATTAAATGATTTTTTAATAGATCATAAGATGGAGGAAAAACCACCTGAAAGCGAACAAAACATGAGCAAGTTGTGTAAACTTACATGATACAGCATCTTGTTTACATTTTATTGCTTCCCTTTCAGAATGTACACGTTTTTTGACAAAAGCATCTCCATATTCATCTTCTACATTCTGAAATAAGAGAGTAAGCGGAATAAAACGAAAGACAAGAACATTAATTAAAGCTAAGTAGTGAAAGAGAAAAAATTGTTTCTTTACAGGAACAAGAAGAAAAAGTCTCTCTGTACTGATTGTTTATTCGTCAACGCATGATTTCAGAGAAGTCAAAGAATCAGTTACTGACATCTCAAGAAAGCCTCTACAATTCTTTAAACCATTCAGACTGAATTTCATTAACAACTCGAAATATACACTAAGGGGAAGAAAATGGTCGTAATAATAATAATAATAAACTGCTGAGTTTCAGCATAGAACTTTGCACAGAACTGCCGCACTTCAGGTCGCCGCGTTCCATGTAGCACACAAAGTACAGAAAATAGAGAAAAACGGAAATCCAAAGGCACTATAATAAGCAGAAATGTATGGGAGAAAGAATAGTAACATGGAAAAATATGAGGGTCTAATAGATATGGAACTTCGCAGGCAGTGAATGCATCTGTGCCATTCAGAACGATTTTGAGCGACATTACCAGTAGTCTCCAGTTATTGGATCTTAGAGTTCTGAGGACTCCAACCAGGCAGTCTACACCTTCCTAATTGGCTCAAACCAACTGTCAAAGACTCCATGGAATGATGTCAGATTTTGGTTTGACGGCCTCTAACTCTTTTCCGACGTATTCCTATGTCGGCTAACATCGCCTATCGATGAAGAAGATGGTTCGGCATGCACAACGCCTATCGTAGTCATCTTAACCCACTCACTTTCACAGTCTCATCGACTGACCTGGGTTGTGAAGGTGAATCGAAGCAGATGACAGTGTGCAGAAATACATCGCACATGCTGTTTGCCCATTCTACACCTTAGTGACAGATTTACTTCTCTTACAATACTACATTATATATGATCACAAAAATGATTCTTATTGATATTAATACGGACAAACGACGTTTCACATAATCTGTAATGATAATTGATTGGAACAGTGTACCTATTGGAAAAGACTCACCAAAGGAACGTGGGCATGACTGTTCATGTGTGCCTAAACAGTTTTATTAGCGTCAGAATCAGTATAGCTAATAAGAACTCAAATAAACTTTCAATATTTCTGCTAAGATGGACACTGTGTTACACTATGAAGGTGTTAGCAGAAGTTAACAACACGTAACACTAAATCCAAAATCACTCCTGAATTATTACATGTTCACCACAAGGATTTGATCGCATGCTTGATCCCAAATGGGGTAATAAGTGAGCACCACTAACAGAAGGAAACTGCCCTCCAATAATACGTGATTGATTTCTGGTGATTCTCTAGAAATCTAACCACTTACTGACATCATCACTTAAGCCATCCAAAAATAAAATATGATGTCATTTTTGCAATACTAACTTATTCTGGAGGTGCGTTTCACATGCTGTTCATAGCGAATTCTACACTGAAAAAGTTAATCGACTCGCGGGTCTAAGATTTTACCAGATCATGATATGATTCACTTGTCTCTCCCTTCTTGGTTATTAAATATAACGCAAATAATAACAGCTACCCCAGTGAACTGTCTTGAAAGGGTTTTCCTGATTGACTGGTTGGAACGTACAACTTTGCACCGATGTGCAGCAGTTCAAGTCGCCAAACTTCACATAGCACACAAAGCAGAAAAGAAAGTAAAGATAAAAGCAAAACAGAGACAGTAAACAGAGATATGAGGCAAAGAGAATAGTAATATCGAGGATCCAAATATTTGTATTGGATATTATAAGTCACAAAGAGTGGATGCATCTGCACCATTGAGAACAATTTTGAGCCATATCAACGATTGTCTCCAGCCATTGGTTTTTACCATCCCGAGGACGCCAACCAGGAAGTCTACACCTCCCTACGTGGCTGGTTTAAACTAACTGTTGTGGATTTCATTGACTGGTGAAGCCATGTTTTGGTTTCACCACCACTGGCTCTTTTCCAATCTGATCCTGTCAACCAGCATTGCCCGTCAAGGAAAGCGATGGCTAGGCATACGTAACACATGCCCTAGCCATCTCAATCGGTGTAGCTTCACAGCCTTGTCGATTGATTTCCCCTCCTTGCCTAGCACTCGACCAACCCCTTAACTCAATATTGCTCACCTTATTATACCACTTCACACGGGAGAAAAAACGCAGGCACCTATGATCAAAGACAGCTAGCCTGTTCACGTCTTCCACTTTCAATGGCCAGGTCTCACAGTCATAAAAGAGGATGGAGCGGGAAAGGGCTTTCCGAATTATTTTACTGTTATTGTCTCATTTTAACTTGACTTAAGAACTTTTTTCCTCTACTATTTATTAGTTGTGCAGTTTTTCCTGCGAAGGATTTCAGTGTTTTACCGTTCTTCATACTGCTAAATTAACTCGAAGTTTCTCGACTGACTATCGCCTCCTCTTTTCCTGGAGTAGCTCAAGTTGGAAACACCTGAGGAGAGAATTGTCTGTCGTTTGCAGTCATCAGTAGCCCACATTTTATCACATTAGATTGTTCACTGATAAACATTATCAGAAAGTTATATCACTTGTTTATTGAGAGCACCTTAGTAGTAATAATAAGTCATATACAAAAAAGACAACAGGATACAATTAAAATAAAAGTTACAGGGAAAATCGATCCTACAGTTAACAACAATTCATACATCCTAAATCAGTTACCTGAATCGCTTTACTCTCTTCTCTTGCTTTGTGCTACATGGAGTGTGGCAACTCGAACTGCTGCATGTGTGCAAAGATCTACGTTGAAACCAGTCAGTCAGTGAATGTAAGGGTCAAAAAATCAATTTTACTAAGCACATAAAGATAATTTACCTTGTCAGCAAGTTTTGAAAATTCAACATCCATGTCACCGGCTGACCGCAGACGTTCTTCGCGAATCATATCAGTAACGTCTTGATTTTTATTATCTTCAAGGAAGAAAGCTGTTCTACGTCCAGATGAATCATGCGTTTTAAATCGTTTTAGTCTAAAAGGTTAAAATAACTTATTAAAAATACTTCAGTAGTGCACTCAGCAGATGCGACACTCGTATATCCCTGAAATATTAGCTTTAGGTATTTTGACATAACTAACTTAACTAGTTTCCTCAACGTTTTTAATCATACATAAAATAGATAGGATATGATCAGTAAGAAATAGTCGAAGGTACATTCGCTAAACCCTTGTTCTGAGATCCAACAATGTCACATCTAGGAAAGAAAACACAACGTACATGTTGCCACCTAAAAAACAAAAAAATAATGTAAAACTGCAATATATGTGATTGTCAAACCTCAGTCCCTCGTGGATCAACATCTGTTCAAACATAGTTGAAAAACAGACTTAGCTGGTTTAAGTCACTTAAGAAAAAGTAGATCTCATCATTGATATCCTCAAATTGAAATGAAACCAGACTTTAGTCAAATAATAGGAGTGGAAATTAATCTCGTCGATGCACATTGTTTTGTTTCTTAAACAATTTTTGAACCTATTTATTTTCTGTTTGTTTATTTGATTTGTTTCAAAAGTAACAAGTTGAACTCGCTCACTATTCACTTATATGATAAGCTGGTGTGATACAGCAAAAGTTAGTTTGGTTTTATTTCTTCTCCAGTCCAGATGCTGCTTCGACGTATATGGTGATGATATCAAAATTAAAATCCCCAATCAGTTTTAAGACTGTTACGTCATTCTTCCATCTTGTTTACGTCGATTTGCATTATAGATGAATAAAGCCTTGAAAGCACTAACGAAAATATGTCCGTAATACAATCACATCTTCCAATTCAAAGGAAAATTACTCGCCATTTGATTACTTTAGTGAAAACTAATTGATCGTATCAGTGCTGAGTGACGAGTTTATGAACAGAACAACAAACTGATATCGACCAATAACCACCTACTAGCTACTTGTTGACCATTATGTTATCTTCGATAAAATACTCATTTCAAGACGGATTTCATCAGAACTGATATCAGTTAGAAAATTATTGAAAACCAAGGACCACCCGAGAGCTGTTTTGTTGTAGTTTGATCAGTAATGATTTGATTAACTTCACTATACGCTACATTGTGGATAACCGATGTCAGCGAAAGGGAAAATTAGTAAAACATTACACCGAATGGTAACTTAGTTCATAATTCCTTACTGCTGATTTCAGCTTACAATGGTGTGTGAATTTCTCCTTAAAGTCTTAAATACAAGTTACTTATAAGTTTCTAAAAGCAAAGAAGAAAAATCAAGAAAAGAATTCTCTAGGACGAAATCTAATAACCTTAAAAATACGCTTTTGTGTATGATTTATATTGATGAAGTCCTACTTATTAACTCGTTTTATATCACAATTATGTAGACTATTTCCTACTGTTATACATACAAACTTATGTAAACATTACATCACTCCATTAATCAGACAGCAACCAACATGTTCACAAAAAGTCTTATTATTTCTTTCCTAGAATCATATTTAATTTATTCAGGGAAAACCAAAAGCTGAAGTAAATTACCTTTTATCATTACCAGATACTGGAGCTCCGGGTAGATTTTGTATATGTACTGGCATTTCAACACCTTGGTCATTTAAACGAGTTAATTCAATCACTCGAGATTGATTATCGTCTACTGAATTGTTAGTTGCCTTCTTCTGTACTGTATGAAGTCGTACTTTCAATCCACGACGCATAGCTTCACGTAATTTGTCTAGATTTGCCTTTAATTTTGCCACTTTAGTCTTTCATAAATCAGTTTTTTAGTGTTACAGAAGAGAAGAAACCCTTTTAATCATTGCATCCAAAATAGTGAAAACAATATCCATTAGTACATCAATTGATTACAGTACGATGAATCATGCAGCATTGAAGGTTTTAGTGGTGATCAAAGTTTATGTATCACGTTCCCGCTTTAACCAATAACTTAAGTGACTCGGCACTACAGTAAACTGTATCTTAGTATTGGAGACAGTAAACCGTGAATCTAGTCTCCCAGCCAGGTCTCACAGCCATAAAGGAGGACGTAGCGGACTGCTGAGCAGTACACACGCTCTTTGGTCGATAGTCGGATATCTCAAGCTCCTGCCAATCTTGCAACAATACTCTGCACTCACTCAGACGCCTTAAAGTACATGCCATACTTACAGACACTGGTCACCAACTGCAATCCATCGGTGCACAGGCAGAGATGATATATAAGCACCACTTTTATGGTCGGCTGTTTCTTACTCTGGTTTAATATTTCAATCTCACAGAACATGAATGGCTGTTAAGAAGGATCCAGTCAATAAATGCGGATCCGGCTCTAGCACTTAGGTAGACGCGACAGGGTTCCCACAAGACCGCAAGTGGCACACGCCATCTGATCCTACAAAGCTTTTCAAGGTACTGACCAGACTCGACTGTTATTTCACTTAGATCAGTGTGTAAACAATGTAGGTAGCAAGCCTGAATGCAACACGTGGTTTTAGAATAACTGACATTGTGAAGGCACCAAACTAACAGCTCACAACGGCACGAATAAGCTGAGATTCCAAACAGCAGCGAAAAGCTGAAGATAGTGGAAATCATAAATGTGATAAAAACGAAAGATGGCTTACATATAAAAATAAGATGAAAATGGATTAGGTTGCTAACAGTGTGATTGGATAAGTAGTCTGTAATAAGAGACAAACGAGTATAATTTTTCATTAGTTGTTGTCCCGTGATCGGTGAGAGAGCTAAGATACCGCCCAAATGCCCTCACCTAAACAGAACCGGAAACTTTGAGTTGAAGTATGATCACATGGTCACCAGTGGCCAAAACGGGTTTAAGTCCCATTCCATCCTTTTGGACTGTAGGTCTTATGTATACCATAGGTTTGGAATCGGTGCCCTCTATGTGGACATCCATGCTCACCAGTTCGGTTATAAACGCCGAAAACTACCATTCGTCCTTTCACTCTTTTGAGAAAACTCCCCAGCCGCGTGAAGGTATAGAATGGGTCTTAACTGACAGACGTTATGAACTCATGGCCAAATGAGAGCACTTTGAGTGGAAGACAGGAGTCTATCCACATTTGTTACGCCCTATCAGTGTAGGAGGAGGTCAGTTATGAGTACGAATAGCTCAGTCGTGACGTCTCTGGTTGAGTGATTTTGATTATAAAGCCACTACCGGCCTAACTACAAAATGTTCACCACTACATCCACATTAAATTTAGTTATAAATAACGCACAGTAAGTGTACACAGATATATGAGGAAACTTGCAACAACCAAGGTACACAACTGAGCAAATTTAGTTTCAAAACGATGCATAGAAGCAGAACTATTCACTAGGTTGTACAAAATAATCAGTGCATGGGGATGAGACAGATTCACTGATAAGTCAAAAAACGGGTAAGCTGAAGGTGTTTTGAATTCATTATGCAATGGTCATTAGAGATCTGCAAATACTAAGAACTATATATATATATATATATATATATATATATATATATATTATATATATTAAAACATCTTTTAATAAATCATACTATCACGGATTATCTTGGTCTAAGAAACAGAGCTCATCACTCTTCATCTCAGGCTAAGTGAAGTTGAGTTGAGTGCAATATCAAGTGAGTAATTGGATGAAACTATTGGTGATCTAAACTAAATTAAAACTCAGCTAGTTAGCTAGCTTGATCAGAAGTGTACGTAAAACTAACCTGACGGCTGTTAAACAGAAAACAGCTAAAATGCAGGGTCTTTAATGAAGATTCAGCCAACAACATTTAATAAAAATAAATCTTAATTCCTAACTTATCATACCGGATTTGACTCCAATTCTGCACGCATCACCTTTGCAGCCATTGAATTTATGTCATCATTTGTGACTAAACGTTCTTCAAAAGTTTTATGTTGATCATCGACAGAGTTTACTGGAGATCTTTCATCTTTTTTCGACAATGGTTCTGAAAACATACAATATTAGATTGCACATAACTAGTTAGTATAAAATTATTTCACCAATATAATTACGCATGAAAGGCAGTTTAAGAGAACACATGTAGAAAAATACGCAGCTAAAGGTAGGCAGTAAAGTCAATTGAATTTTGGGATACGGCGTTAAGAAACCCATATAACTTTAGGAACTAAGAGATATTCACTACCACAAAGTCTATTTTAGATAAGAGTAATAAATGAAGTTTCTGATATCCCACGCTGTAGACATATACTCATTATGGCAACAAACAAACTTATTTTATTCTAAGAACTTATATGTATTCAAATTTACTAATGTAACCCAATGTCAGCTCATGATGAAATCCTGTAACTAATCAATCAAATCCCTACAAACACTTGAATTACTAATGTAAAGTTAGACATTAGCCTCATTTGCAAGCTGAAATAGGTGGAACGGTTGAAGATAATTTAGCGCTCACAAACGATATCACCACTATAATATTAAATGTGAGAAGTACAGACTCACAGTTACAAATATATATAACACCGTTTGGATAGGCAATCGTTCTATATAACTGGCATAATAGCTATAGAATATTTAAAGACCCATCGGATATTCCTTATCTACTAAACAATAGTCTGCTAAAATATGTGTAGTCATATAGACAAATAAAATGTCATCGAATAGTATTATTTTTATAAACTCGTTAATTTATTATTAGGACTCCACTGTAATGTAGCTCAACAACTAAAGGTATCATGACACACCGGGTAAAAAGCAAATTCAACATGTTACAATTTATGGTATCAACTTATGTATAAGAAATTTACATACCAATACGTTCTGATGAGTGATCTTTTGAACAGGAAGAAGGAGGGAGTGATGAAGACGGTAATGAATTGAAAGATTGAGATTTTCGCCAGCGTGGTTTAGCACCTGATGCACTAGAAACAAGTTGTTTTAAAATTAAATAAATGACTAAATTAGAATCTGAAATTATAACGAATTGATACAAAACATGGGAAAACGGTCATTTTTAAAAATAAGTCAGTGAAACATTTTAGCTCAGTGATAAACCAGATTAAATTTTCTTACAATCATCTCTTTGAAGACGAACTATTAGGTAAGAACCTGCAAACACCACAGACTTTAAATGAGTTTGGGATTTACAACTTAAAATTTCAGTTTACATTTATCGAAATGTTATGTAACGTAGTCACTGAGTTATCGAACATAATAGTGGTGTGAGCATTTTTAATTTTAGCTCTAAAGAGTCATTCGACAGGTTTCTTATCGACTGACTTATTACACTTAGGAGAAGTTTACTTGTCAATAGAATTATAATAACATCTTTCTAAGATTCAATTCCTTTACAAAACAGATATTTCTCAACCTTCAGCAGAAAATCCGCTTATTATGTATTTAGACGTAAAAAGTTAAATGTGTTACAGCTAACGGTCACAAAGTAAGTGATTGTATTGTGCCCCATTTATTATTAGCATGGGCCATTATTCTCAGGTGGATGAAAAACAAGATTAATATCAATAATACATGACCTAGTTTGATATGCCTTGGAATCAACACCATGTGAGAGCTAGTGGAGTGCTGTGTTGTTCTTCAGAGATGTCTAATCAATGTATTCATAAACGACTTTAGCTGGCTTCAGTATCTCAGGTATAAACTTGTTAAAACGGTAGGGTCATGTTTACTGGACTCGTCTAAAGTCTCCCAGTTTAAAGATAAAGGGAAGAAAGAATTAAAGGAGTAGACCACTTGACGTATTTGGGAAGTTGCATTAGCCCTATATACATATCTGATGTTGAAGACTTAACAAAATGGAAGTTGTAAGACTTTTAGTGAGGCACCTGAAATCTAACTTTTAATTGAGAAATTATCCATATCTCAGACAATATTCGTACTCTTTTATACAGCTCAAACCAGCAAGCACTTCATTAGCTGATAATTTAACACGACTGCACATCTACTTCTGTCGATCTGAAGGAAGGGCAAATCTGTTTAAAAAAATCGTAATGTTACCAGTTGAACCACATTGTTCTATGTCTAAGTGACTGACTGGTTTCCCCTATGTCTAAGTTCAACACTGCTTACCAGATGAAGTCATTTCACAGAAGCAAACTTTTACGAGATAAGTGATCGCATACTCGCAAATGAAGGATCTAATCCGCTCATAGTCAATGTTTTACACATTTCAAAAAAAGGCACATGGCTGCGCATCAAACTTCATTTCCAAGATGTATTTAGATACCTCACTTGAACAGGAAATACGACCTCTTAGTCAGGCAAATGAACTAGATTTCACCGAAGTCTACCAATTGCATTCAAGTATGTCACAAAGTTGGACAGGTCCCTGGAAAACGACTCGCATTTCAGTGAGAAAATTATTCAAATAGGCTTGAATTATCACCAAATGAATTGCATTTAGACTGAACAATGAAGTCCCAGCCTAAATGTCCCTTTGAAAGTTACCTTATCACAATTATTTCCACTCAGATGTGACTATGGGCATATCTTTAGAGATGACAGTGTCACTTACTATAGATAATGCAAAGCTACTTTTCCTCACAGGTTTAAAGTGATTTAATGCCGTCTATTGTAACCGGCTTATTTCTCTTCTGTTACTAACTGCCATAAGTAGGATTAAAAAAGGAAATTCACTACAGTCCCATGTTTAATTTTGACTAGTGTTAATGAGTGGCATTTTCTAACTTCTAAGATAATCAACGTTGTAGAATAACATGAAGCACATCTAAAAAGTGTAGCTTTGGTTACAAAATAAAACTGTATCTTTTAGTCTGAGTATTCTATATTTGTTCAGTGAAGTTGGGACATTGAACCAAGACGTATGAGTTTACGAAGTAGCAGGAGAAAATAAAGTGTAGTTGGACTTATTTAACATTAAGTAACTTGTCCTGGTATCCTAGATACAAATCCACAAGTTGCACTACTGAATGTTTCATAATATGCAGTTGGAAGTTATATCCATAATGTCAACTACCTGAGCTTTGATTCGCAATATTTGTATCGTGAGATTACGAAAAATAGTATCAGGAAATTTAGACGGTAATGCGGATTACTAGGCACAGTACAAACGGTTCACTATACCTATCTCCGAATGTCCTAAGCATATCATCTACGGTATTTGCATCCCAACGCTGAAGCAGTATATCTCTCAAATTAACACCAGTCTCTTTTGATGTTTCGACACAACGATTGAATGACTTGTGTAACCATGAGTGATTTTCCTTTGATAGTATAGATTTAGAAGCACGTTCATTAGTAGGTAAACCACTCCCACCATCTTTAAAATATGGATTGAGCTCATTTGCTTTGGAAGTCTCTTGGATAACATTTTTCGTTTTATTCCTGCCTGATTTTGAGGTAAATGTATCAAAGAAACTATCCATAGATCCAACATCAGTAATCCAACCACGCTCCTATGAGAGAAGTGAGTGAGCAACGACAATGTCTTGAAGTACCTCTAATGCACCTTCCTTTTTCAATTGCTCTTGTGTATTTCTATCGGGCTGTTTCCAATCGTATTCACTCTCTGATGACTAAACAACCGATAACATACATGAAAGCTTACAGAATTGTTGCTACTTGATTCTTGATATTTTCCTTTTAGTTTTTTAGTTTTATGCGGCATTGGGAGTGGAAGTCGTTTGCAATTCCTAAACACAGGATTTTTTTATGAAATGTGGTAAGTTGTAACTGTCAACTCTCAAAAATTGGGCGTTGATATGGCATATCCCCTGTTTGAAGTGGCGCCTCCAGCTTTACCTTGAGGACATTTGCGCGGTCTAGTTGATTTCAGTTTGGCTGATTTGTTTCGTTTGATCTAGGTAGCTGCATTTAACGTGATTCTGGTTTTCATTTGGCTGGAACTGTGTTGATTTCGTTAAGAATAGTCTTCAAAAGCTGTCTCTAAGCCTGAAGGCATTTAACGTGCAGGAGGATGCTTGAGAATGTGTTTCATGTGAAAATTATAGGGTGCACCTAAAATCCGTGGTGTTAACTATTGTTTGTGGCGTCTCAATGATCTCTGCAGGGCTTCGTTCTATCATTTCTGTCCATATTTGTCATTTACGAGTGTTTCAGTAAATGTCTGTGGCTATAATCAGGAACTTCCCAAAACGGTAATTGTGGTAAGGAATTCCGCTACAGTTTCCAAGTCAATGTCACTTTCAAGCTGCTTATTGTATTTTGTTGGCGATTCGTGAATTTTTAATTTAAAAGCTTGTGTTTTCATTTACAGTGATACCCAATGAACGCATTGGCACTTGGTGACAGTCAACCAACCTGCCCTTCCTATATTAGTGGACATCAAAATATCTTTTGACGGATTTATGTTTAGTCACTGGTATACCAGTTAGGTTGAAGTAGAAGGTGCCCTAAGTCAGCTTGAATCAGCAATATATATGGCAGAGTATTTCCAGGCAACTCATACACATTATGTAATGAAGAAGTGCATACGGAACCATGAATCTCGGCAGTTGAAGTGAAAATTAATAGTCTTTCGTTGTACACATGGCATGAAGCCAAAAACTAGAGGTTCAGGCTTACGCGTCAAATCGTAAGAATTCTATTATTTATCTCTGCAGGGCAAAATACACCGGTTACCAATCTGGCTTTCGTACACGCCACAGGGAGGACGAGTTTATCATTTGTACCGCGAAAAAAGTTCACTATCGCAGATGTGAACAAAGTCTTATGATAGATGATCCTTATTTTGGGCGCCTGTCCGGGGATGAAAAGGAGAATATTGCACCGGTTGTGAAGACTACATCTGAGGTTGGTGATGTTTTGGAATATGCTGAAGAGAATTTTAATAAAATTTTGACGAACACATGTGTATAATTGACGTAAGGACGTGAGACCAGGTAATTGAAGTAGTTTAAAGTTAATTTTGGAAGCCATGCCTTTGAGATCAGATGTTATGCGCATAATAAGGCAAAGCGGTCAGGTGGTTGAATACGTGGATTCGAATACAGGGATAACCAGCAGAATTTGCTTCGCCCTGGAATCACAGGTTCAGTTATGTCGGAAATATGGAGAGGTGGTGTGTATTGACTCAACATACAATACCAATGAGGACGGGTAGGTTATACGTTAGACGGTTGACAAATCTTAATCAGATATTCTCTGTTTCAGTTGGTGGTAACAGACAATATGGGTCATGGGAGGCCTGTTTTTTGGCATGGACAAGACGAGAAAGGGCATGTGATGTAGTTTGGATCTCGGAAGAATTAAAAATATATGCAGGATACGTCCATTACAGAAACTGTCATAATGGATTCGGCCAACTGTGAGATATCCACCGTGCGTTATAGACACATTCAGGCGTAAATCGTCATCTGTGCATTTCACGTATATCGGGCTCTCAGCAATAGGTTAGGTGAAGTCAATTAGTACTTGATACATTTAGACTCGAAATCCCTTTGTACACAGGTTTTTTATATCGTCTTGTTAAAGCTGCGACACCTGAAAGGAAATGCATTGATTACTAACCATTTAGATTTCATCACTACCTTAGTGTCATTAGGACGGTTGATCGCAGTATATGGAATTATGTCAGGCATTACTGGGTGCCTAAGAAGGAGACTTGGGTTGCGGGAAATATGCCGAATACTCTGTTGCTGTTTAATACTACCAACAATAGAGTTGAAAGCTCTCACAGTCACCTGAAACGATATCTCCACAGAAGAGATCCTCTACACGTATATATGTACAAGAGGTATAAGCGGTGTGTACACGCAGAGAAGCGTCGGAGTGTTGAAGCCATCGTCGAAAATTGTTGGATTCATAGGTACCACGCACCAGAACCAGTTATGCCGATATTGCGAAACTCCACTCCTTATGCCGCTAAGTTAATTGCCAAGGACTATAGCCGCAATCGTAGAATGAGCATAGAGTTGTATACTGATGATATGGCTATCACTACTGTCGACACCTGCCTGCACCAAGTGGATTATACCAATTAAACTTTTACCTGCAGAATTTTTAGGTCACAAAGAATACCTTGCCTGCATACGCTGCTGTGTCACACTCAAATTCCTCAGTTTACAGGTAAGTCAAACTCTTACTAATATTTAAATTAATACTTTTAGTTGACGAAGCACTTCGACTGTGTCGCAGATGGTTTTGGTGGGATCCGTCACTACCAAGTAGTGTGCCGTGTGAAAGCTCAGTAAAGAAACCCTGCAGGGAGATACTGCAACTTCTCCGGTAATTGAACAGAAGCTTCGCAGTTATGCAGGATAATTATAGTAATGAATATACCATTAGTGCACTGCGCGCAACGCTGAATTATTTTGAGAATTTTCTTGTTTGAAAATGGAAGATGTACATATATTTTGTGTCAATAACTGCAAGTATACCCTAACTTCTAAACTGTATAAGCCTTCTGTTTACCGTTTCATATGACAAAAGCTTAAGAGTCGTTTGCGAATGTAGTAGAAAGTATTTTATAGAGCGCAAGTAAAAGTGAGTACTAGGCGGAATTTTTAATCCTTAGCATGAGAAGGAATACAATAAGGTGAACTTTTTTTCTTATAAGTACGCGATGAAAAGATAATGACGAGTTTTTGTAATTAGCATTGTATTTACTATGTAGGTACTGTTATATATATATATTTCCTATCTATGTAGGACACACCAGTTGTACAGGCATGGATAAGTATTATTAAAATTACATGAATTTGATTTGTAGTGAAATTACATGGTTGCTGTCCTCTCTGAAATCAGTTAGTGAGTACATTCTGATAGTTAGTCGTTCAATGGAGCACATAAAGAAATATAGAAATATTGTCTTCGCATTAACAAAAAAACCCAAGTATGTGTCGGATAAATTACAAATATTTGGGAAAAAAATAAAGCTTGAAGTCAATTCCTCCATATAACTTTGTTGTGTGCGGCATCGCAACTTGTTCTTGTTTTATGTTCAAATTGGGTATTAAATTAAAATGAAGGATTTGTTTTTATGATTTTGACATCACTTTTATTGCAAGTAATACCAGATGTGAATTCAACTGAATGCAGATTAATATTGTTATTGTCAAGCAGATTTGTTTTACTGCACCCAAGTCGCCCATAGCCGGGCCATTTGTCACTGCATGGTTATTCCGTACGAGTAAGTTGATAAACGCGTAGAAAGCTACACAAAAGCCATTTTAGATCGTTGACAGTGCTTGTATAATAATAATTTATATTTTCATATAAACATAAATTTACATGAAAATGCATGCCACTTTTACAGGCACGATCAAGTAGGATATAATGTCAAATAGTAGATTGTCTACAGGCTAATGTTTGAACAGCCACATATTTGATATATATATATAAATACACTCTTTGTCTGACCCATGTCGTATCATTATTGAATTAAACAGCAGTCCTCCAGGTTGCGCAGGAAAATCCACTTCGTTTCGTCTTCAACCCGTAGTTGCAGCCATACGATAACCAACCAATATTGAGGTAAGTACAACGTTTACAATGGATAGTAAGCTGTTTTAGAAAAGTAAAGGTGCTAAGGTGAATCATTAAAGTGCAATGAAATAGGTAAATGCGATTTATCATTAATAAATGCATTCATAAAGGAAATGAAGTGGGAGACTAAAATCCCTAGGCTGACAAAGTTCATTTGCAATGTACAATGCTACCCATATAGGTCTTAATGTCATGATGTCCACTTTTGGTTTAATACAATTATCCACAAGCCGGTTGTTTTAATTTCATACCTTTTTGTGTATTTGGTGCACAACCGTACCCTATAGAGAATAGGAATAAAATAAGTCGAATCAAATTCATAAAGAGCTATAAAATGTTAGGTTTAGTGGAATATAATGAGCAAGTGAAGACGTTATTAGAAAATGAATAAGATGAGACATTGTGAAGTGGTATTCAAAGATTCCACAAAGGAAAGCATGTTAATTTATAAGATGCCCCATAAATCTGTGCAGAGCCCACGTGGTCACATCTCAGCAATAAGCTGAGCGAATGGTATATGTTTAAAGGTAGAAGCATGATCTGTCCAGGCGATCATTGTTATCTTTTTCAAGATAAAGATTCAAACACTCATAGAAATCTCGAGCCGTCAAATTGCATATTGCTGTTCCTGTAGAATGGGGCGATTCACCTTAGTGTCCACCACCATATCTACTGATCAGCATGCACCACCCTCCCTCCTTTTATGATGTTAGGCTCTGATTGTTATGGCTACAGCAAATATAATGCTTGGTTCCAGACACGTTCGTACCTCACATTCCATTTCCCTAGCTTTCTTAGTGAGTGCTTCCAATAGATCTCCACATACAGATTTGTGAACATATTATATATGTGTGCATGCGTCCTAATGAACAGATTAGTTTATAAGACGTTAAACCCATAAAGAGTAAAAAGAATAGGTTTTGTGAATAGTGGAGCAAGGTTCATCAGAACACTATAGTTAGAGTTCAATGTAGGTAGTATGAACTGAAGGAAGGTCGGTTGGCAGGACTTATTGTACTAAATTATCATGACAGTCTTTTATATAGTAAACATTTGACATTGCAAAGCAACCAGTCTACACATATTATAAAAAGATATTAACACAGAAACAACAAAATTTTAACATTTGGTTAACAATACTGCAGTGTGTGTATACTGAAGAAGCGTAGTTAGTCTTACAGGGAGCCGTAAAGTAAATCAAGCTATATATGATAAGAGTGTAATCAACATTATAATTCGTATTATCAAAGAATACATTAAGCTCAATAACTGAGTGTTATAAGGGAAACAAGCGTGGAAAAGCAAGAGGACATTTGCTGCATAAATATT